TATTCTCCGAATTTCTTTGCTAGTCCTAGCTCTACCTCATTGATTGACATAAAGATGGTTCTAAATGAATCTAGGAGAATAAGTCTCTGAGTTGTATCTATTACTGATTGTCTTAACCAACCGTGTCTGGAAGAGATAGATATTACTTAGTTAATTCTAAGATTTTATCTTCTATTAATGGAATTATTAGTTGAATAAGCAGTTTTTCTCGGTTAACACTATTGATATTTCACTTATATCTATAAGAGTAGTATAATATATTTCTTCCAACGGTACTGGGAAATTATCTATATGCTTATGTTGTCTCAGAGTATTAAAAAGTTCTTTAGGTAATAAGACGTAAGGCTTAACGGTTCCGTGTCTTCCGTCAATTATTAATTCTTCTGCTTTTCAAATTCGCTAATCAGCCTTCTTAATATCGTGTCTAAATCTAGTAACGATTCGTCAATCCAAATATTCGCCTCATTAATTTGAGATAGATTTTTAAGACTATTGAATTGGCTATTTATTTGATTCATTGAATTCGAAGTTATATTGATTACATTTTCGCTACTAGTTAGAGACTTAAGAATTATGCTGGTTTGGTTTCGTACATATTGTATAATATTTTTCTGATCGGCATGTAGCTTATTTAAAACTCGTTATTGAGGTATATTAAACTGTCTGAGCCAAATTATCAGAACAAAATGAATCTTATATGAAAATTATTTGCTAATTATTGCTATTTTTGCTTCAAGAAATAATTTTTTTGCTCCAATTTTTTAAAAATTACAGAAGGCTAGATAGCTTAAGATTAAACTATCTAAGCCATTGTAAAAAATAGCATTTATATAAATAAAAGTAAAAGATTAATAATACTAAAATTTTTGCTATTTTTTGTTTCAGGAAATAATTTTTTGCTCCAATTTTTTAAAAATTAGAGGGCTAGATAGCTTAAGATTAAGCTATCTTAGCCATTGTAAAAAATAGCATTTACATAAATAAAAGCAAAAGATTAATAATAGTAAAATTTTTGCTATTTTTTTGCTATTTTTACTTTAGAAAATAATTTTTTTGCTCCAACTTTTAAAAATAATCAAGAATAAAATAGGACGTTCAAGAATAAAGTGCCTTAAAGTAATTAATTGCTCGCATAATTATGGCATAAAAATGTTTCTCGAATTATTCGCTCTCAAGACATTAGGTTTTCGATTTTTTTGCTCGCGAAATAAGTGTAGAAAACCGGCTAAAAACGATCCGCGCGGTCCAAGTTACAAGAGTAAAGTGCCTCAAAGTAATTAGTTGCTCGCATAATAATGGCGTCAGAATGTTTCCCGAATTATTTGCTTTCGAGATATCCGGGTTTCGATTTTTTGCTCGCGAAATAAGTATAAAAATGTATATATTTTATTTATTATATAAGTCTATTTGTGAATAATATAACTAAGTAAACCTGCAAGTACAGATTTATAAAAAACTTTTTCCAAATATAAGAACAATCTGGAAATTTATATTGATGCAACTGGAGCACGATTTAAAGAAATTATGATGTGCGATGGCAAAAAACGGCCTATATTTTATTTTATTTAATTGTTATAAATGTCGAAAAAGGACAATTTTCTATTGCACAAATGATAACAGAACAACATTCGGTTGCAAGCATACAGCATTGGCTCAATGAATGGTTATCACTAAAAATACCTAAACAGATATGCGTAGACTATTCTTTCGCATTTCTTCATGCGGCAGCGAGAACATTTGATGGATGTTTTAATATTTACGATTATGCAAACAAATGTAAAAATAATATTCCTCATTGTTGTATACGTATTGACAGAGCGCACTTTATAAAAAAGTATACACGCTTATTGAAAAGTTGTACAAAAATATTAAAAAACACTTTATGCTTTATGTATTGGTGCTCTCTGCAATTGCAAAGAGGAAACGGAGGCGAGAGAAATGATTGAAGCAATATTAACATTGTCGCAATACGAAACAGAAACTAACAAACTTAAAGAACGAGAACGATATTTAAAATCTATCATAACAGGTAAGCATAACAATCTCACAATAATTCTCGAATATTAATGTATAATGTAATGTAATGTGTACCCATACAGCACAGATTATTGCAATTATATTGCAGCAACGTTGCAATGTTGCAGGTTGCAATGCAACATTATAAAGACATTGCAGAGATATAGGTGCACAAAATTCCAGCACACTTGTAGCAACATGACATTAATATTTCGGAAATATTGCATGTAATCCAAATTCTATAATTTATATATTGTAATATATATACATATACCCAGCAAACACCAAGTTACAGCTATATAATTGTTAGTTGTAATTTCCCATTTAAAAATATAATACGTGCATTATAACAATTATATTGTTGAGTGGAAAATTACAACTAACAATTATATAACTGTAACTTGGTATTTGCTGGGTATAATACTGTAATAAAATAATTTTTTGCAATATTGTACAATAAAAGATGTTAACGATAATCAATAATTTTATTCAGGGACCCGGACCGAAACAAAATAAGGGTTCGGTTTCAGTTACGGTTTAATAAAATATTTAATAACTGTTCCGGTTCCAGTTTCGGTTTCTTGATAAATAAAGGAAACCGAAACCGTTTAAATTACTGTTTTTTCGGTTACGGTTCCGGTTTTTTAAATTATTATTTTTTTTAAACTAAATTAATTTCTGTTTAAGTTAATTTCTAATTAAATTAATTTTTTAATTATATTATTTTAAAAATTATAAATCTTATGATATACATATAATAAACAACACTTTATATCAAAATGAAAATATATTTATTATTTATACATCTATTTAAATTTAAATTTAAATACATTAACACAGGCTTTTCTCTTTAAAAAAAATATACGCGAACATCGTTAACGCGTCGCAAGGCAAAAGACGACGTCCCTAAATATCAGCTGGGCGGAGATGAGTTAATATATAAGACGGTAGGAGAAAAGAACGACTACGGGATACACACACGCGCACACATACAAGCGTACACGTACAAATAAGAATCTGATACAAGCTACTCGATGCGGAGATTGGCCGATCGACTCCGTCAAGTTAATTCTTTGTAATTCTGGAACGTTTCATGAGCGGTCCGTTTTCATAGTCGGAATTCTGTTCGTTTTTATCGCCATCGCTAGAATGGTTTGTTCTAATGTTATAAAAAGAGACAGACAATAATTAATTTCAAGATTCAATTTATGTGCCTTTTTAAAAAAATATAAAATATATAGAACAGATTAAATAAAAACCAATAACAAACCTTTTTTCTTTACGAAAGAATATCCTATTACTTCTAACAAGTAATTGATTTTCCAAAATACGTTCGTTAACATTTGTTCTTAAAGGAGATAAAATAAATTTTAATCCAGAGAAGAGTCGCTCCACACTAACTTGCGTTGCAGGAACAGACAAAACAACCATTGCTAGTTTATATAATTCAGGTTGACTTTTTCGTTTTTCTTCCCAAAATTGTAAAATATTAGTTTTTCTATTAAGTCTCTTTTGCTCAACATCATATGATTCAAGTTCTGTTACAACACGTAAAAGATGCAAATCTGATTCTTTGGATGATGATAAACTTGAATTTGCTAAATACTGTCGTTCTTTTACTTTTAAGAGGTTTTCAAATTCATCACATGTAGAGCCTGCCATGCTTGAATTTGAAGAAGAATGTTCATTTTCACAATTTTCATTTAAATATTCATTATTATTTAATGATATAATTTTAGTCCAAATGTGTTTTAAATGGTTTCTGGCTTTTTCTATTTGCGTTTTATCTAACAAGATTTTATATCGAGGGTCTAGAAAGACAGCAGATAATAATGCATCATTATTTAATAATTTTTGTTCTCTAGATATCATTTGTTCCAAAATAAGTGTAGCGAAAGGAGTATGTATTGTTTCCGTCATCATTTTTGTTTCATACCAAACACCAAAAAAATCACTCAAGGTTAATTGTTCTGCTTGAAGCTTTTTTGTGCAAATCTTTGATGGTTGCAATGCTGCACATATTTCTTCGATTTTTGTCCATTCATTATCTTTTAATGTCATAAAATTCTGAAATTTTGTTACAGCCAGCTTTTCACAATAATCCTTTAATAATAATAAATGTTCAAGCATATCCAATGTAGAACACCATCGAGTTGGACAATCAATAACAGGTTTTTTTAAATTTTGTTTTTTTATTAAGTAAATAAATGTTTGTGTTCTAAGTTTTTTTACTAAATTTCTAGCTTTTGATATTAGATGTAATGTAGCTTTTGTTCTTTTTAAAGCGTCATCAACTGCCAATTGTAAAGTATGGGCTGCGCATCTAATTCCTATAATATTCAATATCAAATATTAATTGTAAATATTTTTTTTAATTAGAAATTAAAACTCATACTTCTATTCTTTATTTTATTTCATATATACTATAAAAAAGTTATATATTTTATATTATCTTTTAGTGATGATTAATAAAATGGAATAATTGCTAGTTATGGTCAATGTTTAATTTACTCCTAATTTACTTAAAAGTTTTTTTTACCTGTTATAATGTTATTTTGGAAATTATAGTTTAAATCTTCAGTTTCAATTTCTTGAAGAATATTTGAAACGTCATCTGTTTCATGTTCATTATTTCCTTCATTTTTTTCTGATTCTAAATATGTATTATCATCACTATAATTATTTTCATTATCCTTGTTTTGATCTTCTTCTATTTCAATATCAGAGTCTTCATATTCTGAAGCTAATAGTTTTACTGCTTTCAGCATATTAGCACCATTATCAGTCGTTATGGTATATATTTGATCTAATGATATATTAAAAGAAGAACAAACATTTCTAATAATCATTCTTAAATATTTGCCTGCAGATTATTAATATTATATTAATTATAAAACGTGTTAGAATTTAAAATATATAAATAAATATAAAAAAGTATTACCTGTATGTTTTTCTTTTAATTCTTTTAATGCTAATGTTCTTAATACAATTTTTGTATCTTTAATATATTGTATATTGATACCTAAAAAGGATCTGTCTAATCGAGTGACAGCGTCCACTTTTATTGAAATCAGAATGTTTTTTATATCCTCAGATATTTCCTTTTTTATTTTATCAGCTTCTTCATTAACTTTTCTTTGTATTGATTCTGACGAAATAGAAATTTTCTGTTTATATTTATCTTCTATTGCCGATTTGATTGGATTTATAATATTTTGAAAACCAGAGTCATTTAAAATACTAAATGGTCTTCCATTAACTGTTACTAATTCAATGCAATTGTTTTCGAGATCTTTTTTTGTCATTTTTACTTTTATAGAATTTACTTCATCTATTTGTGGCTGTATTTCTTTTCGATGCTTTCCCGTTTCTTTTTTATTCAAAGAAATATCAGTGAAATATTCTTCTTTAAAATCATGGTAACGAATTAAATGTTTTTTTTAAGTTTGTCCCATAATTACCCTTAAAGAATATGTATATTTAGAATTTTATAGTTATAAAAAATGAGATTAGAAAGAAATTTTAAAATATTAAAAATTTTAATATAAACAAGAATAAAAATATAAAAGTAATATCAATCATTTACCTTCAATGAAGATTTACAGATGACACACTGTGAACTATCTTCTACATCGTTATATGTGAAATGTTTGTGTGCTTTATTAGTATGTTTTCTACCCATAATAAAGCACGAAAACTGTCTGAATCCAATAAATATAATTCCTTAAAAAATTTCAACAGCAAGAAACAAATTTATGAATTAATAATAAAGTCGATAATATAATACTAATAATGTTAATATAAAATTATAAAAATCAATGATAAATATGTAGAAGACAGAGGTTATGTATCAATGTCATTCAATGTAAAATATTTCTCTTATATTGTTAATATAATGTCTTATATTGTTAATATAAATCGAATAATCAAATTCGATTAACAGATGTGTAAAAGAGTACTTACTTATATATAAAAGAGAATAAATTTGAAGAGAAATCAATTGATGCCGAAACGTCAGTGCGTTTATACAACGTGTTGTACATAGTACATATGATGCAATACTACGTTTCGCATGATAAGTAACGACGCTGTAGCAGTGCAACAAAGCTCCCGCGCCAATTATTTACCAACCGGGATACATAAAATGTAGTGCATAACATTATGACATTTCCGTCATTTGCGCAAAAACCGAAATGAAATACCAAAAAGAACCGTAAACCAAAAATAATTTAACGGTCCGGTTATGGTTCCGGTGCTATAAATTTAATAGAATTTCAATACGGTTTACGGTTTCGGTCCTACTAAAACAAACGGTATGAAACGGTTATTGGTTTCGGTTACGGTACGGTCCGGGTCCCTGATTTTATTAAATCATTGGCTTAAATTTCTGCGCCGAACGCTCTGAACAATACATATATGTGTGCGTGTACAGCAGGCGCCGGCTTCGCTACGTAGACGTAGACCGTTGCAACTCGTGGTTATCACGTGTACGAGTATGTACATACAGAGAAGTACATATATATAGCAGATACCTTCCTTCATATACAATAAATATTTATTGGACATCTCATGTATGTGTATTCCATATACGTCTGTGAATATGACTTATTCTATGTATATACAGTGATGTATAAACAATGTACATTGGATATCCTATTTGTATATAAATTTAATGTTCTGTTTATACATTGTATATCCATACAATATATATGCGTATAGATAGGTACATTCCATGTACATTCGTGGAAAGTATATGACAGATAATTTACATATACACTAAATATTTTTTTCATATCCAATGTATATAAATTGCATCTATATACATCTATAGATGATATTCTATGTATATAAATGATATTCTATGTATATACAGTGATTTACAAATGAGGCACATTGTATGGATATATATACGTGCATTATATATGTACATATTAAAGACATCCAATGTACATCGTTTGTAGATCACTATACATACATAGAATATGCCATACACGAATATACACTGTACATAAATATTTAATTACTAAAATATCTTGTATTATATTTACAGATGTAGGTACTTGCAATAAAAACAATATACGTATTTACGAATAATATATATATATATATATATTTATATATTTTTAATATATATTACATCTATATAACATATTATATTAAAGTATATTATAATATATTAAAATTAAACTTTGAAATATTTTAAACAAGAAATTATAAACATTATTTCTTTGATCACAGTATTCCATAAATAAGAAACTTAAAAAATATAAGTACGTTAAATTACAATTTATTAAGAAGCTTGTTTTAAAAAGTACTTTATCTATTTGAAAAAATAAACAGATCAAAATGTTTGTATAATATTAATACTATTAATAATTAATACATAAAATATCCTGTAAAAAAATTGAAACAATTTTGTGTTTAAGACAAAATTGTTTCAATTTTTTCTACTGCGTACGTTTCATCTACTGATCCCTCATTACAGCTATATTGAATTATGATGTCAGAAGCAAGAAATAACATGAGGTTTTTTTTTTATATAATATATATCGAATAAATAAGTTTTTGAATGTAATTACTGTGTTTGATAATATGAATTAGTAAAATCCGTCAAACTCCCTATTTGTTAATAAATATGCGTATAACTCATTTGCATATGTCCTACATTTTCAGTAAACGTGGACATGATTGAGCAAGATTATTTACAGCTACTTGCAGATTTACGAAGTAAAAAAAGTATTCGACGGATTTCATTAATTCATATTATTGCTCGAATAATCTTATTTATTTCGATATAATTTGCAAGAACAGCTTCATATAATTTCTTGCTTCTGACGTCATATTTTATAATATGGTTTAATTAAGCCTTAACTAATATTTTATAAATAAATCAAATGGCTACAAAAATTTTATGTGTATTAGAATATTAGTATTAGATTTAGCATTTTTTATAAACTTTAATTTGAAGTACCTATATATAAAACAAAAAAATTTGCGTTACCAATTAAAAAAACAAAAATTATATGTATGGATATATAAGAAGAAAGGAAGACCGATGGGGGGAATGATCATGGGGGTAAGGGAGGAGAGGGGAAAGATAAAAGTATCAGGAATGGGAAAAAGGCGGAGGGAATAATGATGGCGGATTTAGAAGTAGGAAGAGAGAAGTGGAGGGTAATAGGCGTATACATCAACGGGGACATGGAAAGGAAATTGGAGGAAATGAAGGAATGGATGGAAGAGAAAGAAGAAAATAAATGGACGATTGTGGGAGAGATTTCAACGCAAGGACAGGTAGAAAGGGGGGGGTGATAGGAGGGGAGGAGGAAGAAGAAAGAAGATCAAAGGACAAGAAAGTTAATGAGGAAGGAAGAAGTTGATAAAGGAGTTGGAAGAGGTGGGATGGGGAATTTTTAACGGAGGGATAAGAGGGGATAGGAAGGGGGAGTACACATATACAGGAGGAAGAGGGGAATCGGTAATAGATTACGTGGTGGGAGAGGATAGAGTAAAGGAAAGGATAAAGAGAATGGAGGTGGGAGATAACATAGAATCGGACCATCACCCATTGATTGTAACGCTAGAAAGAAGAGGAGGGGCTGAAAAGGGAAAAAGGGGGGAGGGAAAAGGAATAAGAAAAAGAGGGAGATGGACAAAGAGGGGAGGAGAAAGAATAAGAGAGGAAATAGAGTGGGGAGAGGGGTGGAAGGAGGGGATTGAAGAGGAGCTAGAGGAAAAAATAGGAAGAATAGAAGAGGAATTGAGAGAAGGAGAAAAAGAGAGTGGAGAAGGGAAAAGGAAAGGGTGGTGGGACGAGGAATGTGAGGAGAAGAGGAAAGAAGTGAGGAAAAAGTTAAGGGAATGGAGGAAAAAAGGAGGAGGAGGAGAAGGATATAGAAAAGTAAGGGCGGAATATAAGCTAATGTGTAAAGAGAAAAGGGAGGAGGAGAGGCTAAGATGGTACAAGGAGGCGATAGAGGCAAGAACGGAAGGAGAGGTATGGAAGATTATTAACAGGGAAAGGAAAAAGAGAGAAGGGGTGAATGAGGAGATAAAGGCGGAGGAATGGAAGGAATACTTTATGGATTTATTGGGAGGGATAGAGGTAAAAGTGGTAAGAGGAGGAAAGAAAAAAGGGAGAGGGATGAGGAGCAGGAGATAAGCAGGGAGGAAGTGAAGAGGATGCTGGGAAAACTGAAGAAAGGAAAAGCAGCGGGGGAGGATGGGGTACCAAGTGAGGTATGGAAATATGGAGGGGAGAGGGGTAGAAGAGTGGGTATGGGAAATGTGCAACAGAGTATGGAGAGGAGAAGGATGGCCGGAGAGGTGGAAAGAAGGGATAATAGTGCCACTGTTGAAAAAGGGAACGGGGAATAAAGTGGAAAACTATAGAGGAGTAACATTGATGCCAACGCTATACAAGATATACGTGGGGATTTTAACTGAAAGGTTAAAGGAAGAAATGGAGGGAAGAATATGATACCGGAGAGTCAGACAGGTTTTAGGAAGGGAATGGGGGTGATGGATAGTATCTATGTGTTGAACTATCTGGTGAATAAGAGGGTAAACAAGAAGGGGGGAAAGGTAGTCGCGGCATTTATGGACCTGAAGGCGGCGTTTGATTCGGTAGATAGGGAGGTGTTAATGGAGGCAATGAAGAGGAGGGGAGTGAGGGAGGGATTAAGGAGTAGGATAGAAGAGGTGTACAGGGAAACGAGGAGTAAGGTAAGAGTGGGGAAGGAGGAGGGAGGAAATTTTTGGACGGCAAGGGGGGTGAGGCAAGGTTGCCCAATGAGTCCGCACTTATTCAGTTTGCTGATAGCGGATATAGAGGAAGTGCTAAGAAAAGGAGGTTGGGGGGGGGGTGTGAAACTGGGAGGGGAAAAGGTGCATTGTTTGGCGTACGCAGATGATATGGTACTGTTGGCGGAGGATGAAGAAGGGATGATACATATGTTGGGGAAAATGGAAAGTTATATGGACAAGAAAAGGTTAGAGGTGAATGTGGATAAGACAAAGGTAATGAGGTTTAAAAAGGGAGGAGGAAGAATGAAGAGAGTGGAGTGGAGATGGAAAGGAAAAAGGTTAGAGGAAGTGAAAGAATTCACATATTTAGGGTATAAGCTACAGAGGAACGGGGGGCAGGAGGCGCAGGTAAAGAACAGAGTTAGGAAAGCAGGAGCGGTGATAAGACAGGTGTGGGGAATGGGAAAGAGAAGGTTTGCAGGAGACTGGATGAAAAGAGTATGGCTAATGGAAAGGTTGGTGGGGACGGTGTTGGAATATGGGGCGGAAATATGGGGATGGAAGGAGAGGAGAGAGGTGGAGGCAATGCAGGAGCGATGGATTAGGTGGACGTTAGGAGTAGACTGGTGCACGCCGGGGTATATGGTAAGAGAGGAGATAGGAAAAGACAAATTTAGGATAAGGGCAGGAAGGAGGGCGGTAGGGTATGAGAGGAAGTTGGAGGAAGGGAGGGGAGGAAGTTTAGCGAGGAAATGTTTTGAGGATATGAAAGAGAGGATAAGGGGAGGAAAGGAAAGAACGATGTGGGAGGAAGAGAGGGGGAAATTCTGGGAAGAAAGAGGAATAGAGGGGAAAGAGATGGAGGAAAAAAGGGGAAGAGGAGAGGAAGTATATGAGGGGTGGGAACAGAAAGACAGGGAAAGGCAGAAGGAGGAAAGGTGGGAGAGGATAAGAGAGTCGAGATATAATAGATGGTATGGGGAATGGAAGGAGGAGGGTTTACCGGAATACCTGAGAAAGGGATGGGGGGAAAGTAGATGGAGAAGGATAATCAGGTTCAGAATGAACAATGAGATGAGGGGGGCGAGATACTGGGAAGAAGAGGGGAAAAGAAGGTGTAGGTTATGCGGGATAGAAAATGAAACATGGGAGCATGTGATAGGAGAATGTGGGGAGAAGGGGGGAAGGGAAACTGGTGGGAAAGAATGAAGGAAATACTGCAGGAAGGAGGAGAAGGGGAAGGATGGATGAGAGAAATAGAGAAAAAGAGGGAAGAGGGG